CGCGGTGAGGAGGCGAGCCGAAGCACGGCTGCTCCGTCGCACACGCCAGAGATGGGGCTCCACCGAGCTGGAGGCCAGCGCCAGACAGCATTTCGGTCAGCGGGCGGACATGATCAGCCCACACGCCAGCCAGTCTACGGTCATCAAATCTATAGTCAGCGCACATCTAAACAGCCAACTGTACTGCAGATATACATCCTTAAAGGCAACAGCAACGCAGCTTTACTATCGCGACACGTTGCGATATTACCCTCGCCCACATCCCAGCAAAGCAGCGTGTGACTGGCACGACAACACGGCGGGTGACGAGCTCGAGGCTCCCCTGCGCCGTCCAGGGCTTCGGCTGACCTGTGTGTACGACTTGAGCACCTCCAGGCGCTGAGAAAAGTGCCTGAAGAGCAGGTGAAGCGCACCGGAGACCAGCGGCGGGTACTCGTGCATGGTCAGGTGCAGGAGAACCCGCAGGAAGACTCGGCCGCTCCTGCCGTCCAGGTCCAGCTCGCTGCCGCTCTCCTCGCTGCGACGCGACACGACCGGCACGCGGGGTCACAGCAGGTCCCGCACAGCCCGGCCGCTCCGGGGGCCGGCAGCACACGATGGCAGAACAATGATTATGCTCGGATGTTCAGCTTACCCATTCATCACGGCTTGAATAGCGTGTTGTACGGTGAAGCTGGATGATTCAGGTTCTGACGAAGGTGCAAGCCGAATCCATATCCGTTGTTGAGGTATTTTTTCGCCCTTCATACCTCACGTATCACGCACTCAGCCTACCATATTGAACACTTCGATATCTTTCCTGGGGCTTACAGTAATACATTTTATAAAAGGAACGAAAGTCCCACGTCCTGACTCACTAAAACAGGACACACAAGGCACTGTTGCACGAAAATCTCAGCTAGTACCAAGTGGTCATATAGAATACATTTCATAATTTTCCATTTTGAATATTATATACATAATATCAAATTAATGTCTAATAAGATTAAAATAAATGCACCAGCGTACAAGACCTTCGGGCCTCAGCATGGCCGGCATGGCCAGCATGGCCAGTAACGCCTATTGAGAACAACGGTCATGGCCTATTAAGAGAAGGAACTGAAGCACGTAAAAACCGCTTCAAATGTATTCGAGTTCCGATCATGCAGCTGTCTTGTGATGTCAATAGCTCGGCACGACATACCCCAACTAATATACACATCCCAATGATGTATTCACGCATCCTGATCGTTGATTGGTACTTTTGTTCAAACAGCACCTCATTCTGTGTCTGCAGGTTGCTATTGGCCGGACAGCCGTCCTATTTAGAACGCAATACGACGGCACGCTCGTCTTTCATCGGAACAGGAACCTCCATGTGGCCTTTACAAACTTACCCGCCCTTACTACTGCCAAAAAGGACGTCGCCATCTACCAGCACGCTGTGTCCAACGTAGAACCATTAATGTTTAGTGGTGTTCCCTCGCGCTCACCAAAGAATGACGGCTTAATGACTGAATGACGCCCAGCGATGGTATGTAATAAGACCAAGCAATGGCAAGCCTCCATTGTGGACAGTCATCTGGAGCAACAACACGCCCTGCCGTCTGGTATCAATTCTGCTAATCGCACGGGTATATGATGAAAGAGCCGGCGGCGTCCCAGTAATCATCGTTAATACGCCACGGTCGATCAGCACCGTGAAGCCATTCTTCGCCGTTCCCTCTTCTTGAAAAGCCGGTGTTTACCGGGCGGCGGGCGGCGGGCGGCGGGCGGCGGGCGGCTGGCTGCCAGCGGCCTCGGCGCCGCACATCGACGGCGGCAGCCATGGCGCACCGATGGCGCTCCGTGCGCATCTTCCGCTCGCTGCTGATCGCCGCGCTGATGATGGCGATCACGCTGCAGCTGACCAGCCGCCTGCAGGAGCTGACGCGGGAGGAGACGACGGTGGGTATGTGGCGGAAGCCGCGCGGCCTGCCGCCGCCGCTCAGTCTGTGTCACCCGCCGACCAAGGGCGCGGCGCTGTGGGCGGCGCTGCCGGCCGCGCCCAGCCGCGTGCCGGCCTCGTCACCCGCGCCGTTCAGGGTGCCGGTGGCCGCCTGGAGCCGCTACAACTGGAGCCGGCCGCTGGCGCATCTCTGGCAGCTGGCGGCGCCGCCGCTCAGCCGGCTGGTGCTCGACTGTAACGCGGGCGCCTGCCGTCCGGCGCCCGGGCGGCTGCTCACGCCCACCGGCCGCTGGAGTCGCCAGCTGCTCGCCGACCAGGTGTGCTTCACGCTGCACGCCAACAGCTCGCTGCGGCGCACGCGCCATCAGTACCAGCTGTCGGACGAGGGCCCCATACTGACGCTCAACACGAGCGGCGCGCCGCTGCTGCTGGTGTTGCCCGGCGACAAGTCGCTACCGCGCGACGCCTTATTCAGCTCGGCGCCCGACGGCGGTGCTGTACTGCTGCCCGGCCGCAGTTACCAGGTGCGCGTCACCGGGAGCGAACACCACGCGCTGAGCACGCAGCGTGCGCCCTGCCGCGCCGGGCGCGCTTACCGCCAGCTCTGGTGCATGGCGCGCTGCGCGTGGCGTGCGGTCGCCGCCGCCGCCGGCTGCCGGCTGCCCTGGATGCCGGTGACGGCGCGCCACTGCGCCAGCTTCGCCGAGATGCGGCGCGCGCTGGCAGCGCTGGCGGCCGGTCCGCCGGCCGGCCGCTGCGAGGCGCGCTGTCCAGCCGCCTGTGTCCAGTCGCAGTACCGGCTTGACGTGCTCTCGCTGCCGACCACCTCTCCGCCGCCCGCGAGCGTCACCCAGATACGCTTCAGCTGGGCGCCGCACGTGTTCGTGAGCAGCGAACGCCTGGCACTCACCGCCCCCACCCTGGTCAGCGAGACCGGCGGCTGGGTGGGCCTGCTGCTGGGCATGTCCCTGCTGGGCATGGTGGACGGCTTGCTCGCGCTGGCCGCCGCGCTGTTTACCGGCCGCGGCCGAGGCGCCGCTGACCATCGCGACACGTCGAACGGACCGGCCGCGTTCAAACGCCAACGCAGAGCTTGCGTCTGCCTGCTCGGTATGACTCGACGCCGGGGCAGGACGTCAACACAGCGCGGCAGGTGCGCGAGACGGAGCACCAGACGTGTCCGCGCAGGTGGCAAGTCCGCCGACCCACCGCCCCCGAAAGCTGACCATCTGCCTCCATCCGTATAACGCCAAGCCGACTACCGAGCCGACACTGCCGCCGTCCGGCAACACCACGACTGTACACCACCCACCAGCTACACATAACTCCCCGACAACCGGCCGTCATCCCGCTGCCCAGAGTCGTCGGCCGTGCCGCCCACCAGCCGTCCATAACCCGTCCGGAGGCGCGCAGCCCGCCCGTCTGCACTCACCCGCCGCCGAAGATGTCTTCGGCCTGGACGGCGATGCGTTCGTCGACGCGCGGCCCCCGCACCGGCCGAGCGCCCTCGAACACGCTGTCCCACTCCTTCTTGTAGATGGAGAGGAGACAGCTGATGCGGTAGTCGAGTCGCACGTCCATGATGAACTGCCGCACAGGAGACGCGCCGCCGTCAGTGTGGCAGCAGGACACAGCCGATAGCGGCACAGCAGTGGTAGCAGTCACAGTGCACGAGGGGAAGTCAGGTGGCGTAAAGGGATTACCTGTCCGAACAGTTCTCCAAATGTAATTTTGTTCCATTTGTTCCAAAAACGTCGGCAAAAATAATCGCTTGGTTTCCACGCCAGACGGACGAAAACGACGCTCATGTCGTCCACCTTCGGCCGGCTGGGCTCTAGCACTCCCGTAATGACGGCGCCACCAATGTGTGCTGCCCACCCGTACATCTCTTGGTGCCGACGGCGTTCGCAGGCTGAGAGGATAGGACTATAGGTACGGAAGGCGGGGGGGGGGGGGGGGGGGGGCGGAGCGTGCGGGGCCGTTTTTTCTGTCGAATCGGGCTCTGCTACCGTACCCGTTTTCTCGTGCGTATTCCAACCCAGTTGATGCGACCCACCCCAAACACATCCATCTACGTGCCTTTTATCAGGTATAACGCTGTCAAGCGGGGTGTGTTCACACGTGTCCTGGACGCCACCAACAGCTTACTATGTTTGTCTCCCACCTACGCTTTCCAAGACGCTCCCGACATTGTCAGACTGAACGTGTTATCTAACGGGAGGCAGACGTGGCTTTAGTCATTAAGTTTTGTTGATCTGTAGCTGGGTTTGGTCGTGTATTTTAAGCGCTTTTCACTTTTTGCGTTGCCATTTCGGTTGTCATTTTAGTCTGGTGCTATGTTGTTGTATATGCTAGTGTATTCTAAGCGTACCTAGTGTCTATGTGCCGTTCGTCACTCTTAAGTGTATACTTTTCGTCATTCCATTTGTTACCTGAGCTGCAGTTGCGGTCATCACCTTGGTCACCAAATATCAACAAACAATACACATCGCAGTAACCTGCTCCAGTTCCCAGTCTCTGAAAATACCGCAATTTCATGAGCTTCATTTCGTGGTTGGTGGGAGCACTGCCGTGCCGGCCCCTGACGTCAGGCCCTCTGCCTGCTGGCATAACCGCTGCACTCGCGTCCCATAAACGGGCGGGACGTGCTAGGTGCGCCGCCGCCTGTTTACGAGGATGTTACCGTTACACCCAAAACCGCGCAGAAATACCGTGCCGACGCCTTGGGTGTACCACACATATTACACCCAGAACTGCGCAGAAATGTCGCCGCGTCCAAAGCCAAGGGTTATCAAAAAAAGGCGAGGGGCAAACAAAATGGACGACGAGCAAATAAAATACTGAATGAATTATGAGGCAATGCCGCGGCCCGTTCAGCTTCATACACAGCCCAAAACTAACGCTTCGGTGGGCCCAGACACGAGTGATTGCGCACGCTCGCAGCGAGCTATGTCATCAAACAACGGTCACAAGTGTATGTAGTGCGCCACGCACGCTTCGAACGGGAAGCGAACGTCATATTCTCCTGTAGCCGACCCAAGGCGGCGACAATGGACGATGCGTGCCGAACAGTGGGCCGGTTACATTTATTCTTTACATCGTTACATCGAGTGTTCACACCAGTCGAACTTCTCTATGTCACATTGCATCTAACACACCAACGACAACAGCTTGCCGTGTCAGCCAAACGGCGAACTCCAGCCAGCAAATCATCGCGATGACCGGCGCGAGATTACCGGCAGCCAGGTGGAGCGGTCGACCGCCGCCGCCACTCCTCCCTCCCCGACAAACTGCGCCGCCTCACCTGCAGGATCTCGATGATCTTGAGCTTGATGTCCATGACGAGCGTGTCCTCGCGCTTGCTGGTGGCCTTGCGGAGGCTGCCGCTGCGGGCGGCCGTGCCGCCAAGCGTCAGCTGCGTCATCACCTGGCCCATGTCCGTCAGCGACTTGAGCACGCCGCTCTTGCCTGGTGGCGCGAGGCACGAGTCAGTCGGGTCACCGGCTGGCTGGCAGACGTGCCAAGCGTCCGCCAGGCGTCCGCCAGGCGTCCGTCAGGCGTCCGTCAGGCGTCCGTTAGGCGTCCGTCAAACGTCCGCCGGTGGCTGGAGTACGCCGCCCAGTCGCCCGGCGGCCCGGCGGGCCAGACGATCGGGCACAGGTGGCGCAGGCGGTCGGCCCCGCGCCTAGACACCAGGCTTGGTAGGTCGGGTCAGGCGGAGGAGGGAAGTAGCGGGCCACGATCGGCCGCGGTGTGATGGGGCCAGGCGGAGGCGTCACGCGAACACACCATCGTGCGGTGCTCGCATCCTACCAGCCCTCATAGCCCTGACACGGGCGGTGCGCGCGCTCCGTGCGACGCCGCCTCAAAGCTAACTAGCCCCATCAGTGCGCATCCGGGCCCCCTTCCCACGATCCAACATGAACGGAAGGCCGGTGGAGGGAGTGAGACAGACATGCACATACCACCACAGCAGGGAACATCACAACTACTTTCCAGCCACGCTAAGCATTCACCACAACGCATGTTTGGCACGTCCAATAAAGGTCGCGTCGCGCCAAATCACAAACAGGGCATCACATAACTACCATATACACCGAAAAGCCCCTCCCATCCAGCATCCCCTCCCCCCCCCCCCCCCCCACGTTTTCCTGAGACATGACCAAGAACGGCCTAGGACAAGAGTAAGTCCTAATGATTACAAACTGCTAACGCCTCATCCCCAATAGGTCATTACGACCCCAAGAAGACGCCAGTGCTGTCGCCAGCTAGATGAGGTCAACGGATTCAAAATATCCACTTTAGAGACAAACGGATCGGACCAATTTATGTCCAAAGATGACTTCGCTGAGCAAACGGTATAGACGGCTATGCGCTGATAAAGCGACGACGAATCACGGAAGCCCCGCCGTGCTTCGTCATCAGCTTGATCATCGAAACTATCACACCCACAGGCTACTAACGGCTCAATCGTCGTCAAATACAGCGTTCAACACGACACATCATGCACATTCCATGACGACCATGCCATCAGACCACACGACAGCCATGCCGCGCTGCAGCACAGACCCGCGGTCGCTCGACCCGGCCTTACCGTCCTCCGTTTCGAACATTTCGAAATCGAAATCCTCCTCGTCTGCGTGGGAACACGGGCGACTGCATCAGTACGCGAAACTATCGGCGGGCCGCCGCCGACGCGGCGGCGCACGTCCAGCCCCATGGTCGCTTCAGCGCCAGCACCGCGAGCTCCCGTGGGCCCGCACCACGCCGGCCAACTCAGCGCTGGCGTAAAACTGCCGCGCGCGGCGGGCGGCGGGGCACGCCGCGACTCACAGGTGGTCAGTGTCCGCACAGTCGGCGGTGCGCCGCTGTGCGGACACCAGCGTGGGCATCGAGCCAGGCCGTGACAGGGCCCGTGCCACCCCCGCAGCCTCGGCGAGGCTGTCACGTAAGCTGAAGAGACAGACGGAGAGAGGGGCAGAAAGCCAGTCGGAGAGGCCCGGCGGCCGGCGCCCGCCACCAGCGTCCCGGTCCTGAGCGCGAGCTGGGGCCCCGGCTAGGCGGCCGGCGCCCGCCGCCAGCGTTCCGGTCCTGAGCGCGAGCTAGAGCTCCCGTCTCGACGCCACTCACCGTTGATTTCGGCCACCCCGGGCGAGTCACTGCTGCTGAAGCTCTCGGTCGTGCAGTCCAGGATGCTCAGCAGCGTCTTGGTCAGCCGCAGCAGGTCACTGAAGCTATAGAAGCCGAAGTAGATGAGCTTCCTGGCCAGCTTCACCACCTGAAACAGGGTTGACGGAAGTCAGTGGTCGAGGAACGCTTCATTGTTCATGCATAATAGGCTCGCTCATGTGAAAGAAAGATTTTCCGACTTTGGTCACGTCAGGGAGAAGACGGTAAATCACAACCGATAACACAAGTGTCCCGGCTACATGTCAGCAAACACATGGTCGTCATTGAGCCAGTAAACAGTGCTCGAGATCGCACTCGCGTGCGTCATTGACATTTTTCGCCACATGAATATAAAGGAAGGGAAGGGAACTGCCCTTTGCCGCTGGCTCTCCAAGCCATCTTCAAAAACGGGACCGTGACTTGTTAGTTGTTTCTTGGTGTCTTAGGGCGCGCTGACTGCAATGGTCATTTTGCACCAATAATGGTGTTTTTTTTCACGGAGCTAACGAGGTGCACAAATTACCTGGAAGTCCATATTGTTGTGAAAGCGAAAAGCTGTTTAGACTGAAGACTTCAGAGCTGTTTACGCTAGAAAGGATGAGTTGACTCCAAGCATATCTATCATCATCAGGGACGAGGCCTGCGGTCCAAAGCGACCTCGACGTTCTTGGGCGAGGCGGGACACGATACAACCGCTGCTGGACAGTGGGGCCGGCGCCGCATCGACGGCAGAGGGGCCCGTCGGCTCCACGCAACAGATCACCATGGCTGGCATACGAGTGCCCGACACGCAGTTGCATAGAGGATATACGACTTTTTCGCCGTATAATGCAAGAGCAGGATGACTCACAAGCCCCGATGGACTTTTATCGCTCTGAGGTTATTGCCGCCCGTCTGATCCCAGCATGGAGGCCATTTGCTTTTGAGGGAAGTCGTAACTGCCCGGTACAATTTTCTGGCAAGGATCGACAAAGACTGGGCCCGTAGTGCCACCGCCGCTGGGGCATGTAACTTTGACAGCGGCTAAAATGGTCGCAACAGCGACTCCGACCTATTCCGCGATGAGCACAGATTCCATCCTGCGTGTCGCACCTCGAAGGTGAGCTTGTTCTGCTCGGGGTCGGAGAAGCTCCACATGCGGTTGACCACGTTGCAGAGGTAGTCCTCCACGAACTCCATGGTAGCTCCGAAGCGCGTGCACACCTCCTCGCGGCTGTCCGACGGCGTCCGGCTGTCGTCGTAGCTGCGTGACGTCACAACAGACGACCGGTGACGTCACTGGCATGCACGTGACTGGCATGTGCCGAGATACGGGGCGCGTGACTCATGGGGATGGCGTGGCTCGTGAACGGATCGTGACGCACGACAACATCGTGTCCTGGGAGAACATCAAGACCCGTGAGAGGAGTGTGACGCGTGAGAGACTGCCAGAGGCGTGTGAGGATCGAACGAGAAGTCAACAGAGCAGACGCTGCAGATGAGAAGACTGGGCGGTCGGCGTGCGGTGAGCGTGGGCTTCAGCAGCTGGCGTCGCTCGCATCCCAGGCGGGGAAGCGCCGCGCAGTCAGCCCGTTAGCACACGCCAGCGGAGCCGGGGCGTCCGGTTAGAAGCACGCCTGCCGCTGTGTCGATTGTGCAGCTATACACCGCCGTCGCGAAACGTGCGTGGCGGTCGGTGAGATGATGTGAGAGACGTAGGCTACCGGCGGCAGACAACGTCCACTACGCCCCTGCCGTGGGGGCGCAGGGGGCGCCCGTCGCAATACGCTGTGATGTCTCCAAGAAAACCAGCACCGCAGGAACTAATAAACCAGACTTTAGCATAACGTCCAGAACCCGCGGCACGTGAGATTAAGAAAACAAGAAGAATCACACCATCTGCATCAGCAGACGTCAGTCCTATGACATTTGGCTGCAGCTGAAAGGCGGCATTCTTGCCATCCGGATACCATACTTACTACTTTGCTGCGCTATGAGAAACGGATCTAGGATTACAATGAAAACGACACCTAAACCCCACCATACATTACCACATCACCACACGACGTAGCAAACGTTTGGCTGCTATGGCAATACAATGCGTAGTGCAGCGAGGAGAATATGTCTAAAAACAGGGATCGGCAGGCAAAATAAAACGTAAAAACGTTAGCGAACGCCAACACCATGACGTTAGCGTTAAAACAGCAGTGCAGCATCTGTACGGCATGCATGCATAAAAACAACGTAACCGTGCGTTGTAAAAGCAAACTGAACCATGCCAGGTTTACCATTTTCGTTAGGTGAAGAGGGAGAGACGAGCCTAGAGGAGAGAACAGAGACAGACCGTCCAGTCAGACATGTCGATGATTGAGGAGGCCAGAGAGGCGGGAGACCTAGTGCAACCGCCCAGACAGCCGACCGCAATAACGCCCTTCCCCCCCCCCCCCCCCCCCTCCCTCCCGCCCGGCCATCTCGAACTGTGGGGCATAGCGGTCAGGGGGCAAGTCAGGCGGCTAGCCTTCTGTACCCGACGGTCAGGCGGCTAGCCTTCTGTACCCGACGGTCAGGCGGCTAGCCTTCTGTACCCGACGGTCAGGCGGCTGGCCTTCTGTACCCGACAGTCAGGCGGCTGGCCTTCTGTACCCGACAGTCAGGCGGCTGGCCTTCTGTACCCGACGGTCAGGCGGCAAGTCTTCTACACCCGACGGTCAGGCGGCTAGCCTTCTGTACCCGACGGTCAGGCGGCTAGCTTTCTACACCGACGTTCAGGCGGCTAGCCTTCTGTACCCGACGTTCAGGCGGCTGGCCTTCTGTACCCGACAGTCAGGCGGCTAGCTTTCTGTACCCGACGGTCAGGCGGCTAGCCTTCTGTACCCGACGGTCAGGCGGCTGGCCTTCTGTACCCGAAAGTCAGGCGGCTAGCCTTCTGTACCCGACGGTCAGGCCGTTCAGCGCTGCACGGCAGGCGGCTAGCTTTCTATACCGACGGTCAGGCGGCTACTTCACCCGACGGTCAGGCGGCTAGCTGTCAACCGACGTCAGGCGGCTAGTACCCGACGGGCGGCTAGCCTTCTGTACCGACGGTCAGGCGGCTAGCTTTCTACACGACCGTCGGCTCAGGCGGCTAGCTTTCTACACCGACGGTCAGGCGGCTAGCTTTACCGACGCGGCCCTGGCTAGCTTTCTAAGCGAACTCAGGCGGCTAGCTTTCTACACCGACGGTCAGGCGGCTAGCCTTCTACACCGACGGTCAGGCGGCTAGCCTTCGTACCCGGCGCTATGGATTCGAAACTCAGCCGGTTCTGCCCTCCCATTTACTACAATCCGTAAAGATATGACAGGAAACGTTAAATGCCATCGAATTGGCGCGTTTATCATGATTATCAAGACACTTATTTCGAACCAGCTGGGAGCGTCGCCTGGGTATACACATGAACAGCAAGCGAGACGGCTTGCCAGACGGCGGCGTGCCGGGCGACAGGTGGCTCCCACTGACAACTGTCCCGTAATGGGAGAGCAAGCCAGTGCGCCAAAAGAGCCGGGGCCGTGAAACAGGTAACGCCACCCATGAGACAGGTGACGTCACCCGCACGACAGGTGTCGGGGCTCCGCGGGTGGGTGCGGCCGCGGGCGCGGGCAAGTGCAGGTGGCATGGCAGTGACGGAGTTCCGGTGCGCGTTCAACATGTACTAACGATCAAGGGTAAGCAGGTGCCCAACATACAGTGGCCAGACGTGATGGCACAACCATGACACCAGCTAACACTGACTCCCGTGAGCCCTTGCCCACTACCGGCGGGTCCGGCGAACACAACCCACTACCGGCGGATCTGGCAAACACATCTCACTACCAGCGGATCCAGTGAACACAACCTACCTCACGTCACATCAGCGTCCACCGCTGCCGGTTACGTGACAGCCGCAAGCACCGCCGCCCGCGGCAAATACCCGGCACTGACCGCCCACCAACGCCGTATGTACACGGACCCTCTGTGCCTCCGAGCCCGCCCGGGCGCCGGAGCCCGTCGGCGGCCCGCCGCTCAACACTCACTCGCTGATGGACATGGTGGTCTGGATCTCGGACCAGAGCCGCGCGTACTTGACCGTCGTCACCTGCTCCTGCGGGTCACGGTCGGCGTGCATGTGCAGCATGAGCCGCGTGAACGACGCGCGCAGCTCGAACGGCAGCGTCTCGTCCGACATGCACCTGCCGGAGACGGGGCGTTACCGTCCGGCCGGTCCGACCGCCGCCGGGCGAGCAGGCGCCGCACACGCGCGGCACGTCCTGACGGGGGTCGTGTGGGACCTGGCGCTGTGGGGCCCACGAGTGTCGCCATGCCGCGGGAGACGCATGGAGCCGGGCTCACGGTGGAGAGGTCGGCGGCCGTATGCTGTCCGTGTGGCGTCAGTGTCAATCACGTGACAAAGCGGGGCAGCCTTCGCTGACCATGAACACTGCCTCCAAACGTTACGTTTTCTCATAATGTACATCAATGTGCGCTTGATAACGTCGTTCAACCAGTCATGCCTCCTGGTGTAGTGGGGCAGGTTTCCTGTCAGCATTCGAGGATAAAGCACTGACCGGAGTATGAGGTCGATGCCGAGGTGCGGCGACAGGCTGTTGATGGCCAGATACTGTCGGTCCAGGCACATGTTGGAGAAGAGGTCCAGCTGGTGGCGGTAGTAATCCAGTATGTGCCGGTCCTCGCTGGTGCCCGAGCGGGCGCCGGCCGCCAGCTCGGAGATCGATCGGCAGCACTGCGGCAGAGCCGGCGGCACAAGGGTCAAGTCCGGAGAACCAACCAGGGCCGCTGAACAACTGATCTGGTGGACAACAGTCAGATCTGGCGGAAAGCAGTCAGATCTGGTGGACAACAGTAGCGTATGGTGCACGGATCAGGTCTGAAAGACCACAGACAGGCCACGAGGGCCAGTCGGGCTCACTGTCAGGATCGAGGGACCGCCGTCATGTCCGGCAGCCTAAAGTCAGGTTTAACGGACCTTGGTATAGTGCGTGGTGAGACACGACCTAAAATTTCGGTGTGGTGCGACAAAACGGAGCCGTACCGGCAAACAGCGACACAACGGAGCCGTAACACAACGGAGCCGTACCGGTAAACAGCGACACAACGGAGTCGCACCGGTCAACAGCGACACAACGGAGCCGTACCGAACAGCGACACAACGGATCTGTGCCGTTCAACAGCGATACAACGGAGCCGTACCGGTCAACAGCGACACAACGGAGCCGCACCGGTAAACAGCGACGCAACGGACCCGTACCGGTCAACAGCGACACAACGGAGCCGTACCGGTAAACAGCAACACAACGGAGCCGTACCGGTCAACAGCGACACAACTTGATATTGGCTGCTGAACAAGCAGACGCAACCTTCGCCAAAGCAGGTGTGCCGTGCTAGATGCATAGCCGAACCAATAGCTTGATCGTTTGACGAGTGGAGCGATGGCCCAGAGCCCACCTCACGACCACCTAGTCGGTGGATTTTCACGCCCACTCAAAAGGATAGTTCACACCAGCAGAAGGCATCATCTCCTTCGCGTCGTGCCTCGTGATCACCTTTCTCGCCTGCAGAAGCTGGCGACCATGCCCATACTCGGCCCCAGTCCAACCCCCCACGCAGAGAAACCCATCGAGCCTCTCCTTTTGCATGACCCTGACCCTGATACGAGGCGGCGGTGGTGGCGTCGGCGGCGGCGCGGCCGTACCTGACCGTGACCCCACTCCAGCTCCACGTCCTCCACCTCCTCGACGGTGAGCACCGGCTCCGAGCCTGTCGCCGCCGTTCTCCACCACCACTTCCACCTCGATGGGGTGCCGCTGAAGCCTGTCGGTAACGCCGCGCCGGGTCAGGGCCGAGTCGGCTGCCGGCGGCGGAGGGCGCGCCCGCCGGGGCCGTCCCTGCCAGGCGGCGAGCCGCTGTGTCCGCAAGTTCCAGTGGCGTTTTTCAGCACCCGACGTGACATATGACTAGGAACAGAAATTAAGTGGCAGCGGCGTGCGCGATGGACTCAATCATGGATGCATAGGTCGGTCAACCTGCAGCAGCTTCGACTGATATGCGAGGTTGGACAAGTAGGACGAGCTGGCGACGAGCGAGGCCGACGGTGGGCAGCGCTCGCTCGCACAGGGCTCGGCGTAGACGGCCGCTACGGTCAGAGTGTAGCGTATCACCAAACACCGGCACATGCCACGCTCACAGCGCGGCATGCACCACTAGCCAGTCGCTGACGCGTCTGATGTGGGGCGTCATGACGGTGAGCACGGCAGGCCGACCGGTGGCCAGCAGGCGCCGCGAGGCGCCGCGCCGCACCTGGTCTGGATGAGTATGTCCGAGTTCTTCGGACTGAGCACCGACTTGCAGATGAGCTCCTGCGTGGCGGCGATGGCCACCTTGTTGGAGATGCACAGGTGGGAGAGGTAGTCCAGGTAGCGCGGCTCCCACTTGTTCATGTTCTTTCGCACCAGGCCTGGAGCGGGGGTGCACGCCACACTGCTCACACAACGTCGATACCGTGCTAGTCTCAGATAACGCTCACGACTGTGCTGGTCGCAGATAACGGCAACGCCGGTGGCGGGTATCACGACAGTGCCTTGCGCTGGCTGTTTGTCACTCTTGGCTTACTTCACACGTCAAGTCACTCTCCAAGTCTTCTGACCTGAATATCTCCCCGCGCAGACTGCGGCGTCGCGATAATCCGCCACGCCGTTTGAAGCAAGGGGACGGGAGCGAAACACTGTCAGCAGCAACTCCCCAACCAACCACCTCTGAATCACGTGCCTTTCGCCAAACCATAAACCCGAGTGCCCCCTCATGGCATATGCCAACCACTCACCAGTCATCTGAAAGACACCTACATCACTGGTGCACGGCGCCCGCCCTCCGTCCCTTCCCGTCAGCAAGCGAAGTGGCCCACCATCCAGCGACCACCGCCCAACCTGCCTTGGCCCGGGTCCTGGCCCTGGCCCTGGCCCCAGCCCCGGCCCCAGCCCCGGCCACGGCTCCGGCCCCGGCCACGGCCCCGGCCCCGGCCCCGGTCCTGGCCCTGGCCCCGGCCCCGGCCCCGACTCCGGCCCTGACCCCGGCCCCGGCCCCGGCCCCGGCTCCGGCCCCGGCCCCGGCCCCGGCCCCGGCCCCGGCCCCGGCCCCGGCCCCGACCCCGACCACGAACCCGGACCCGGCCCTGGCCCGCTCCGCTCCACCCACCGACGAACGTCTCGATCTCGTTGGCCGTGATGTGCTTCTCGAGCAGTTTCCTGTTGTTGTGCAGCAACGCCGTGATGGTGTCCTCGGCCAGGATGTCGCAGCCGATCTGCTTCTGCATGAAGCCAAAGTGTTTGGCGATGTGTTCCTGCAACGGAGAGGGCCCCGTTAGGCGGGACAGCTCCTGTTTAAGTGGGGGACGAATGTTACGGCGACGGCCGTCACCGCGGCGCACAAGCCAGGCTCTCTTGGCCGACCCGGAGACGCTGTCACAGGCCAGCAAAATTTCTCCAGCGCAACACACCGGCCCAGTAACGTTAAATGTCTCGCCGCGGTCTTGTTCTATGTTGGCCCGCACACCGCCCTGCACATCATTCATGCGTCGGAAACGACCGCCAACGCGCCCGATATCTGAACCCCACCGCCATCCCGGGCACCCCGTCCTGCTGCGGTCAGGACGCGGCCGGCCGCACCTGGTTCTTGCGGTAGTCCTGCTGGCTGAGTCGCAAGATGCGGTAGCATAGCCGGAAGATGTACTTGTAGGGCGCGTGGCGCGGGTCGCTGAGCTCGTCCAGCCGGATGAAGGCAGCGTCGCCGCCCTGCTGCTCGCCGAACGACGGCACCTGGGCCACGGCGGCTAGTCACGACCAGCTAACGACTGAGGCGGCGCACACACGGCCGAGTGCACAGCACAAGTTCAGTGCGGCTGGCGCACGCCACCACGCGGGCTAGCGAGATGCGCCAACATCTCTTACTCAGCAACACCAGGTTCACACCTCTGGCGTCTTTCCTCAGGTGCTTGACTTCGTGAAGCAGCCATTGGCACGAATGCAACACGTGTCGTCCGCATAGCACGCGGCTGTTAGCGCAGAACATTTACCAACACCGCCGACGCGGCGTCACCCACCACCCGCGCCGCGCGCTCACCCGGAGTATCTTGAAGATATAGTCGATGATGGACTGTTCGCGCAGCAGCTTCTGGCGGTCGCGGTTCGGGTGTCGGATCATCAGGTCGAGCGCGTCCGTCCGGTTCTGCTCCGTCTCCCGCATGGCGATGAAGTAGATGATGTCCTGCAGCAGCTGGATCACCATCCTGGCGGCGGGAGGGGGAAGGGGGGGGGGGGGGCACGGCGGTGTCAGCCTCGGGTCCAGCCGACACCAGAAGCGTTATGACATGCCGAACGAAGCGGCTGACACTCCAGTGACACTCCAGTTCCGGCACCACCGTGTAAGCGTGCTTGTGGTCCCCATTTCATACACCACAATCATGGTAAATACAATCCATTTGCGGGTGATATCAGATTCCTTATTAGCAGCAATCGATTCAGCAGGACAGCATTTCGAGGAACACACAGCCTGACGAGACTCCAGCCAGAATACGGTTGCACGCAGGTAAGATACGGCGAACTCATTGGTTCCAATCTGCACCACGGCCCTGAGCATTGATATGGACAAGGCAGTCGCTGGCGCCCACAAAAGGGACGTGGCGACATGCGTCCCAGTCATAAAAACAATGCTATCAATCTAAGGGAGGGTGGATAATTTCCGTCCCGTTACAGTCAGGCTCCCAGAGCTTACCTGACGCCTCAGCTACCGGCCCCGCTGCCTGACGCCGCGGACTTTGGTTGGGCTAGCAAACGCCGCATAGCCGCGGTAATTCCACTGCAGTGGCAGACTTTCACAATGTCCAGGAGCGGCACACAATCCACCATGCAGAGTGCGCTACAGTAGTGAGCCTGCGAAGCCACGCGCACGGGCCGTCTCCGTGGCGCCCGCCCGCCCAAGCAGGCGGACAGCATGTCGGCCCGCCGCGTGTCACTCACTTCCGCTCGTTGTTGGTGATGCAGCCCGATTCGAGCTTCTCGCTGAAGCTCTGCAGCACCTTGCAGGCGTCGTTGGCGAAGTCCAGGTCTCGCACCTCCTGCGCCGAGACGGGCACCAGCGCAAACGCCTCCTTGTCTTCCTTGATGGCTGCCAGGCCCACCTGGCGGATGACGGCGGCACTCGAAGTCGGCAGGCACACCGGATGTTCTGCATTCAACCCCAACTTTTGGCTGTTTACATGCCACCCCACCGGGATAACAGACATCCTGCCGGTCTTTTAAACCGCCAGTCTTGAATTCCCCAAAAATGATAGAACGGAGGAAATAAAACACAATCACCTGTCACATTGAACGAGATGCCACAGCACATGTCCTAATAAACTCCCAGGGCGTACCAGAATATACACCCCTATCTCACGGCCCTCTCACACCGGACGTGCGTGCCGCTGTCGCCACGCTCGCGCCAGCGCGCCCCTCCCCACCTTGGACATGACGGGCCGCTCGTTCTCCTTATCGATGGGGATGCAGGTGGAGTGGACCCAGGCCTTGGTGGTGAAGTGCTGCAAGCGCACGTAGGAGGAGCGGGGCACCATCGACTCCGGGCCGGGTGTACGTGGTCGGATCGAGCTCGAAGATCGTCTGCAGGTCGTTCGGGTTCTGCACGGGCACCAGCTGGTACACGGGGCCACCTGCCGGCCAGCGGAGAACGGGTCACGTTGCGGTGATGACTGAAACGGCGCTGGCCCGGTAAATCCGCTAGTTTAACATACTCGGGCTAAAGAGTCCGATCGATACCATCGGTGTGCAAGTACAACAATCTGAATTGATTGTCTGAATCGATTGTCTCAGCGCACGCGCTGCAAGGAGGGGCAGAATCTGTTCAACCCTTCCGGTTCCTCTTAAATACATGAAATAAAAATAAAGGCCAACAGCAGATATTTTTCGAGCGTGTACAAAAAAAGAACCAGGCGTCAGTCAACCCTCCCTTCCCAATGCCAGCAACGTTTTTCTTTCGTTCCAGTGCTACCATGCCCACGCGCGGAAAGCATCTGTCGAACGGAGGTCGGTGTCCTGGGAGCCAGGTCTATTTCTGAAGTCGTTCTCGGAATGGTTCGTGACTGAGCGGGGCCATCGCTCCGCTCGATCTTCGACCCCCAGCGCGCCACGTCTAACTATCCGTTCGCGCGAAGCTGACGCCGCCGTTCGCGGAAAGACACGAGTGGCGAGAAGAAGAGCCGGGACCGAGCACTTTCCACACGTCTGTACCGTAAGAGGTGCGCGTGGGCATATGCCAGACTTGGCTCTTATCACTGACAACTGTAAGGCAAACGGCGCCAGCGCATGCTTCTTGCTTTGTTTCGCGCACATTGATCGTTCACCAACGAGCACGTCCTTGTTCACGTCCTTGCTATTGTGCATTTGCGTTTGAGGTTGCTGAAAGACATGCACTTCTGACAACTGACCTCGTTTGACCTACCTGACCTACGGCCGCGATGGCCTGGCATATGCCAAACGAAGAGGTGCTTTCACATCACTGATAATCGGTTGATTGGCAAGAGCCCAAGAAACGCCTGGACATGCCGACAGCGGTGAAGGGGGCAGGTCGTGCGCCACCCACCTCCACTCAGCTTGTCCCGGTTGGTGTCCGGGATGTCGTCGACATCGACCTCTGGGTGAAGGGGACAGGTCGTGCGCCACCCACCTCCACTCAGCTTGTCCCGGTTGGTGTCCGGGGTGTCGTCGACATCGACCTCTGCCGCCAGGTACTGGCCGGTGGCCAGGTGCTTGTACCGGAACAGCGAGTTCCAGTGGCCAGCGCCGCCGCGACACCGGTCCACGTTGTACACCTGACGGCCGCGGACGTGGTGAGGGTGCGCCTGGGGCGCGGGTGCCACACGCCAGCGATCCGACGGCCCAGGTGCGTCCCATAGCACAGGCACTCGGGTCATTTGTCGTATCCGCCCACTGCGACACGGGTAAACAACGGCACGCGTGCACCACGGCAGGTGAACGTCACGACACACGTGCACCGCTCACAGTCACATCCGAGGTTATCAACTGTGATGTATGGGTACAGCTGTAATGCGGGCACCCACGGAGCGCGGACACGCGACACAGGCGCGCCCGAGCGCGCGCATGGGTCCATTTTCACGCGCGCCGGTGCGGAGTAAGGTGCGCCTAAGCACGGACAGCTTAATAGGGGTCCGCCACAGCACGGGAACGGCGTCACACCACGTGTCCACGCCCGCCGCAGCCCGCCGTGTAACAGCTGTGACACAACGGTGTCCAGAGCGGCGTCGGGCGTACGGGGCGACAAGGTTCATCCCATGACCGCCGCAGCCGCCGACGCCCGCGGGGATACAGGGCGTGCGGTGGAACCCGACCCGCGACTGTGTGCTTGCCCGGCGCCCAAAGCTAATAAACACACGCCACACAGCGCTGACAGACAAAGGAGCATCACGCAGCTAGCGAACAAAACCTGGAGCCTCTAGACGTTCGCTTGCATAATCCTCCATTCAACGCTCACCCCTCTGCCACGAGTACACAAGGCGCGTCAGCACCACACCGGCAACTGAGTCGGCCGTCGCCGACACCGGTCGTCCGCCTCCCGCCTCCTCTCACCTCCACCTCCCAGAGCGCCTTGCTGCTGGTGGCCGAGGTGGTGGTGGCGCGGCCGGTGGTGCGAAGGAACACCACCTTGCGGCCGTGGTGCTCGTCCACCGTCAGGAACTTCTCCTGCTCGGCATGGAACAGACGCACCACGTCGCCGCCCTTCAGCACCGTGTCCAGGTTCTCCTTGTGCTCCATGAACAGCGAGATCTTCCAACACGTGCTCGCGTTCAGCACGTTCACCTGCAGCGAGCGGGGCGTCAAGGCTGCGCACTGCCGGCTGCGGGAGGATGGCACGTGCAAGTCGAGCTTTGTTAGTGCTGCCAATGTTGGCGTACTACCACGTGGCAATCGTCCTAGCGAAGGAGCCTTCCGCGTCGGATCTTTACACGGCTGAACGCGGCCCACAACGCTGACAACATCCGAGAGCTCGCCATCTCCAACGCGCCACAAACACAGTCAGCTGGTGGCCGCTCTCGTTCTCCCCGTTGGACACGCACCTCCTTGCAGCCGGGGTTGTCGGTGAGCTCATGGTTGGCGGCGGCGTGCAGCACCTGGCTGGTCTGGCCGGCGCCCATCGGCGTCAGGATCACTTTGTCACCGACCACCACACTGTCGCCGGCCGTGCGCAGCTTGTAGAAGGGCGCGATGTAGAACCACGAGCCCTCGTTGCCGGCCGCGTCCAGGTAGACGCGTGTGGCGTTCTTCTCCAACAGCGCCGGCAGCCGCTTGTTGACCGTGAGGTACTTGTTGGACTTGAGGTGGAGTAGCTGCGGGCGTGGGAGCTAGCGTCAGGCGCCTGCTGCTGGCACAGGATGGTGAGGTTGTGACGTGTGTGTTGTACGGCAGGCACCTGTTGGATTTCGTGGAGCACACTGTGTGCGCTGAGGTGTATGCCGTGCGTTCAGGAGTCGTTCGGTTGGGAAAGGGTGACTGCAGAGCGTCTGACGTGATCAGTGGGAGACCCCGGCAGGAAGGGCGGATCCGTGACGGAACACCGTCCCACATCATTACTGTGGGGGCGTGCGTCTGTAATGTGTGATGACGCTGTAAGAGGGAAGACGAAAAATCCCGCTGCATCCACAGCATCAAGTGGACAAGTGCCCGTCCAAATGCGCAGCGGCTGAACACACACAGGGCCGCACGCGCCGACTTCACGAGCTTCCCGGATTTGTGGCCGCTTCGTCTTACGGCGGACCGCTGTCGGCTGAAAAACGGATCACTGCGCGATGAATGGACGGCGTGTTGCCAGCACCGGCGGCGGCGTGCGTCACAGCCGGCCCATCAGTCCCGCCTCACCTGTATACAGCTGCCATACTGAATGACGGAGCCCAGCAGCTTTTTGTGCTCGCTCTCGTTCTGCTTCTTCTCGATCTCGGCGGCATGCTGCAACAGCGAGGCGACCGCGTCAGCGACGCCTCGTCTCTGTAGGCCGGCGCGCCGCTGCGGTCCGGGAGCGGCCGACCCAAACACCTGCCTCCGATCTGGCGCCGCGCACGGAAACAAACCGAGGCGGCGAGAGTGAGAGACGGCGCAGACCGCTGGCCCCGCCCGCCCCGGCCCAGACCCTAGTCCCGGTAACGGCGCGGCGCCGCCAGATCGCCACCTTCACGGCCCATTAACAGGCCAAATAGCCTGATGGCTGACGGCCGAGGCACCTGGTTCTGTCGGCGGCGGTTCGGCGAGATCGGCGCCGGCGCCGTCGGCACCGCCTACCGCCTGGCGCCGGCCCGTGCCCGGCGCCGTAAAGATCGGATCGGCCGTCGCCCGACCGGGCAAAGGTCGGCGGGCCGGCCAGCCGGCGGCGGCAGCGGGCCGTGTCCCAGCGCCGTCGCGTCAGGCCGCCGTCGGCCAGCGCGCCACCGGGCGCCACCCGCCGAACGCCGCCAGGTCGCGGCGAGACAAACATTGTAACCGTCCTCAGCCCGCTCACGAAAGACCACGAGTGCCGGGCGTGCATATGAGCTGAGCGATGAGCTCGCGGGGAACCTGATCTGTCCCAGGCGGGCCTCGCCAGTGGATCGGGCCGATGGACCGGCCACAGCCCGCTCCGTCCTCCCCAGCCGGAGCGGGCGGCGCTGCGGCGGGGGAACGGGTGGGGCGGAGCCGTGACCGGCGCGGCCCGCCGGCTGCCCGGGTGGCCTCCCGGCGCGGCCGCCGTCGCCGATCTCACGGCCAGCTTGATTTACGGGCGGCAGTAAACGGCACGCCCCCCGCCGCCGGCATCTATCCCTCGACCGGCAGGCTGCGGCGGCGGCGGCCGACGGCGCGGAATCTGCCATCGAGTTCCGTCCCATTATCCCGTCAGGACGGCCCTGGCCGCAAAGGTGGGTGGGCCAGCTTGACCGGACTCGCTTCGACCCGACCCGACCCGACTCGACGCCAGCCCAGTCCCGCGCCCGGATCCAGCCCTCCGCTCAGAGCCGCTCCCCACCGGGTCAGCGGGTGCCGCCGTGCCCAGTCGGGCCATGCCAGGCGCTCCTGCTGCGGTCCGGCCGGCTCGGGCCGCAGCTGTAGCGTCAGAGGGCGGCGGGTCGATGGGCGGACGGGCGGCGGCGGCGGCGGCGGCGGTGACGGTGACCGGGCCTGGCCGCGCAGCACGAGCCGTGCCGCAGTCCCAGGCGTGAGGCGCCGCTGCCGCCGCCCGGCCGTCGCTCTCGTTCTCGTCTGCACACGACGTACCTCGGCCGCCGACCGCTCGAGCCGTGTGGGGTCACGTGTGGGGTCACGCAGCCGCGGCAGGTGCCACGCCTTGCGGTTCACAAGTCAAGTGTAAAAAAAGAGAAACAGCTTAAACGCCGAACACCGGGTGCATGCACAAAGCACGACTTGGCGGCGCGAGGCGTAGGAGCGAAAGCGGCTACGCCTGTGCAATTTCGGTCCGAAGTAGGAGAACCTCGTTTGCACAGCCGGCACACTGGAGTAATTGCCGACCAGCCGATATCAGTGATAACCCGCCCTACTGCCTGGCATCGCGCCAGGCCGGTACAATCAGCAGGTGCAATCATGCAATACCAATCGCAACTGAAAACGCTTGGCTCGCAGCACACTCGGCAGCACAGTTAACCTTCTTCGCGTGCGAGTGTGCGACTAACACACCCAGTCGCACACTTTGCGAGTGTGCGACTGACTTATGATCGGCGGCGGCGCCCCATGGTCCCACCATGCGCCGCGCGCCGCCGCCGCCGCCACGGCCGCTGGATCAGGAGTCCTCGTCATAGAAGCTTTTCCCCGAACCACACCGAGGTGTGTCTAGAGACCGGCAGTCCGACGTATGACGCAGCCGCGTCAGACGTTCCTGGCGCTGGCCGGAACGCATGCACCTTCAGTGATCAACTGAAAGCCGAGTCTAGCACCAGGCAAGAGCGGCCAAGCGGCCGCGGGCCCTGGGCGCCAGTGTGCACCGAACACCTCGCAGCCCAGCTGTCATAAAACTAGCAACGACGTTCTTTTATCGTTTAAGCGTTCACATCGGATACAAAAGCGCTCGTGAAAGCCAGTGAGCTCATGCTGCAAACAGCTTAGCCGTTGGTTCCGCTCAGTTGGCCTCGCAGCGGCACGCCGGCGACCTGTGTCCGCCAGCGGGCACCAGTTCCGAGCATCTCCCCGGCGACCCGTGTCCGCCAGCGGGCACCAGCTCCGGGCATCTCCCCGACGACCCGTGTCCGCCAACGAGCACCCACCAGCTCTGGGCATATCCCCGGCGACCTGTGTCCGCCAGCGGGCACCAGCTTCGGGCATCTCCCCGACGACATGTGTCCGCCAGCGAGCACCAGCTCCGAGCATCTCCCCGGCGACCTGTGTCAGCTAGCAGGCACCAGCTCCGGACACCTCCCCGGCGACCTGTGTACGTCAGAGAGCGCCAGCTCCGGGCATCTCCCCGGCGACCTGTGACCGCCCGGCGATCTGTGTCCGCCAGAGAGCACCAGCTCCGAGCATCTCCCCGGCGACCTGTGTCCGCCAGCGAGCACCAGCTCCGGGCATCTCCCCGGCTGGGCTCCGAGCCTCCACTGCAGGGCCAGCGGGCACGCTGGGGCACGGTCTCTGCCGACGCAGCGTCGGACCGACAAGTTCGAGCCGATGTCATGATCATGACCTCTGGGCATCGCAGGGGACGATGACCTGGGGACCGCGGGGACGATGACCTGAGCACTGCAGGGGACAGTGACCTGAGCACTGCAGGGGACGGTGGCCTGAGCACTGCAGGGGACAGTGACCTGAGCACTGCAGGGGACAGTGACCTGAGCACTGCAGGGGACGGTGACCTGAGCACTGCAGGGGACGGTGACCTGAGCACCGCGGGGACGGTGGCCTGAGCACTGCAGGGGACAGTGACCTGAGCACTGCAGGGGACGGTGGCCTGAGCACTGCAGGGGACGGTGACCTGAGCACTGCAGGGGACGGTGGCCTGAGCACTGCAGGGGACGGTGGCCTGAGCACTGCAGGGGACAGTGACCTGAGCACCGCGGGGACGGTGACCTGAGCACCGCGGGGACGGTGGCCTGAGCACCGCGGGGACGGTGACCTGAGCACCATGGGGCGCCATTTATGGGCGCTTGGCCAGGCGGCAGGCGAGATATGTGGCAGATTCGCCCCACAGCTCTTCGGGTCACACCAGCGTGCGGACGGCGCCCACCCGTTGGCGAATGCCAGGGGTGAAGGGCAAGAGCGCGCGCCGTTCTGGCAATGGCTGCCAGATAACACGGGCGCAGCTGTATTTCCCTGGAGATGCTGGTCTCGCTCGTGCTATTGGGCGCCTAACTTATCTACGAGCTCTAGGAAGTCCTCCTGATGCCGCAAGCGGCTACGGTCTGGTGCTGGGAACTGTTTGGACAAAATGATATCAGGCAATCAGCTGTGGAATACCGGCAATTGAGTCCGGATCCAATTGAGAAAAATGAGCACTGGCAACTGTTATTAGGCGAATGACCGGAGGGTTTATCAGACAACTGCATCGATGGCTGTGGCGAGACTTGACGGCGTCGACCGCTCGTCCCATTTTTACAGCCACAAGACGTGGCCAAACCACCACGAATCATGCCTCGGTACGAAACAAACCAACACCGCCAGAAGACACGCAATGTAAGGTCCATTGAAACTCCGCACGCTGCGACTAGTTACCAAATCTGATCATCATTAAACCAGCGGCAGCTATCTGGAGTCGCCAGGGGGTCCAGTGCTCAGCTCCAGTTCCAGTCGCTGGAGCTGCTGGAGCTGCTAGGAGCTCCTGTTTTCTGCGGACAAGCTGCCAGATTGAAGGCTACATGATCCGGGCATGCCTTGCGCGCGACACAAACATCCGATCCCGAGAACAAGCAGTCAATGGTTACAGAATAGAAGCACTGATATTTCGTAACTGATCCTGGATGGATGGCAGCCACATCGCAAACGTGCCCATGGCTTCATGCCTGGCCTTAGACCGTAGGCATGTGGTCTCCGTTTGTGAAGTGTGCTTCCTAATCTAACAACGGAATTGAATGACTGAATCCATTGCAGTGATCGTCAGCATATGAGGACATGACGATAATCATGCGTATTTCTAGTAAGGCACTAACGTCGTCAATGCAATCGGACATTTCCATCATATCTAGCATCACCGAAAGGGCAAGACAGGCCGTTGTCAAAAGCAACGGACAAGTTCCTTCTTGTTCCACTGCTTGTCAAATGTTTTTACGACGTCGGCACGTCTGTTTCCAGAAAGTTGGCCACCGCTGTGGGCATATCGCTACACTGAATATGCATGGTTATACATTCAACAAACTGCCGTTGTGGGCATCTGTAGCTTGGGGTTGCCGCTAAGGCCGGGCGGCCCACGTCGACCCAGGCGTCTCTCCATCAACAGTCGAATGGGAGCCTAGCGGAGCCGAGCGGACGCTGGGCGGCGGGCTTCCCGCCGTCCAAAATCGCTTTGTTCGCAGAAAGCACGTTCGGAATGTGCCGGCAGCACAGCCATAGCCGTCCACGCTGAGACCGTGGCCACACAGAAGACAGCTGCACGCCTCAGTACCTGGCCGAGTGGAATAAGTATAAATTCTGGAGTCGATTTTGTGGAAATAGTGTTGCAACGGACCGCGCATTTGTGGCAGGGCGGGAGAAACTGAAGAGTGGCTTCAAGCGTAAGGCCGCACATGCGTTGTGGGCATTAAACGTTGCTGCTATGGGTAGGTAAGAGATAGGTGTTTTGAAGACGAAAGCCCTTATCGTAATCGTAAGTGGTACAGACTACCATGTTAGTAGCCGCGACTGCGAAAGGTTGTGATTTTTCACAATTCTTTGGGTGCTAGTAGTTTTGAACATTCTAGAGGATGGTAAGCTTCGCACAGGATATGGTCATGTTTTCCAGTGCTGCTGTTGGGGGCACACAGGATGCCTTATAAGACATATGG